TAGTATTGCTGACTTTAGAGGGTCGTGACCCAAGTTTACCCTCAATACTCTTGAATTCCCACACTGATGTCGTTCCGGTTTTTGAGGTAACATCATTTTTCTTGTTAAACTACCTATCTTCTTTATTATATTTACATGATGGAAAAATAAAGGAAAAGTGGAGTTGTAAACCATTTGAAGCTTATAAATCGGAAAATGGCGATATCTTTGCCAGAGGCGCTCAAGATATGAAATGTGTTGGTGCAAGTTATCTTGAAGCTATTCGATGTCTTCGGAAAAGAGATAAACAACTATGTCGAACAATTCACCTTTCATACGTTCCTGGTATTATATTTTCGGTTAAGTCAGATGTTTATTTGATTAAAAATTAAATTATGAATATAATTCTTTCAAAAACAGATGAAGAAATTGGTGGAGAAGATGGTATGGGTCATTTTGTGGAGTCAGAGGATTTTAAAAAGCTGAACATTGGATTTGCTTTGGACGAAGGTATTGCAAATCCGAGTAATGCATTGAAGGTGTTTTATGGTGAAAGAGCACCTTGGTGGATTAACGTTATTACCAGAGGTAACGTTGGACATGGTTCTCAGTTAATTCAAAACACGGCCGTTTCAAAACTGGTTTGTCTAAATCAGAATACTCTATTTTTATCTTATGTTGAGAAGAAAAATTAATTACATGCGGATATTTTAGCATCGCATAATCAATAAATTTATGGAATTTAGAGATTCCCAAGAACGTCAATTACTAATTGGTAGACATCCTGGTGGAAAAAGTTATAGTCTTGGCGATGTGACCAGTGTTAACCTTACCATGTTACAAGTATGTCAGCTTGTATGAATAAAACATTTTTTTCGTATTTAAATTGACTGATTTAGTACTATATAGGCTGGTGTTCAACATAATGTTATTCCACAAGAAGCGATAGCTGGTTTTGATATCAGAGTAACTCCAAATGTAGACATGGTTCGATTCAAAGCTTTAATAGAAGAGTATGTATACTCAGAGTCAGAGTAAGTTTTTTTGAATAGTTTATGCATAAAATTTATTTTTATAATTATTTTTAATTACATTTTTTTAATTTACATCAAATTTTCAAATTGTCTTGGTTCATTTTTTGTAGCTCGAAAATAGAATTTGTTCAATATCACGATGACAACAGCTACACACCACTAAATGAAGACAATATTTGGTGGGCTTCCTTTCGCGATTTCTGCATGGATCGGTAAGTCGAGTGTTAATCTTAATTTCTATAACACAGAATTCCTTTCTTATTCTACGTAATCCCCCTCCCCCAGGAAAATTGCTATTGAAACAGAAATTTTTCCTGCTGCAACTGACTCGAGGTATCTTCGCAAGTTGGGCATTCCAGCATTAGGTGTATCTTACTTGAAAAATACACCTATTTTGTTACATGATAATGATGAGCGTATAAATGAGAATTTGTTTCTTGAAGGTATCGAGTTCTACACAGATTTAATTAGTCATTTAGCTAATATCCAAGAGGCTTAAATATTTAAATAAGAATAAAAAGAGTTCACATATATAAGTTTATAACATTGTCTTTTCCTCTGAACTATTTCTAAGCCTGAAATGTCTCAAAAAAAAA